ATAACAGGGTATTTACTATTTATTCTAGGTTATCAATTAGAGCGGGAGCCTTGACGTAACTGGTAAAGTTGTTGTCATGTGATCAAGAGGTCACGGGTTTGAGCCGCGGAAATAGCCATGCAGGATAAGGCTACGTACAATAGACTCAATAGACCCTTGTGGTCTGGCCCTTTCTCGGACCCCGCACACGTAGAACTTAAACTCTCTTTGTCTACCTTATTATTGCAAAGTTCAATTAGGCTTTCCAAGTTTAGATCTTTATATTGGTCTTCCCATTTATATGGGGGTAAACTGAAAGCTGGTCTGAAATCTGAATTGTGAAATTTATAGTTATATATAATTAATAGTACCTGTTGTTGTATATAATAGTACCGGTTTTCTTCTTGAGTCGAGGGTCTATTAAAAACGGCCTCTCTACCCCATCGGGGTAGAGGTAAGATCTGCGTACACACTACCCTCCCCAGATCCCACTTGTGGGACTATACTGGGTTGTTGTTGTTGTTGTTGTTGTTGTATATAATTAATAGTACCAGTTTAGTCTTCTGTTAGCGTTGTAAATGTAGATTAATTCATGGCGAAAAGTAGGCATATCACCCTTTAAGATATATGCAATGTATTTCAAGATGCACTTGTCAGCAGTTCATTGCTCACAAGGGCGAAGCCAGGGGCGAAGCTACATGTCTTAAAGGGTGGTCAATTGACCTCCCTTTGTTGAAAACTGACATTGTGTATATAGGTAAAATATTAGGTTTTTTAGAGGTATATAACATATACCGAACATCTTTTGTCGGGGAATTTTTTTCACTTCTTTCAAGTTTGAACACTCTTGAGGAAATTACATGATTCGAAGGGGTTCAAATGAATCCCTTTATCAGAATTTATAATTGCAATCAGGATAAAAACAGTTCTTTTTTGTATGTATGTACATTGTTGAATTCTGTCGACATAAGGAAAGCTTCTAGTGTGGTGGTATAGTTGGCTAAAAAAGTTGCTTTAGGTTGCAAGTCTGAATCTCATTAAGGCATTTTTGCATTTCCTTTTGTCTCCCCTGGTTAGAATTCTGGCTCCACCTCTCATTGTCCCTACAAGATGTTCACATGGACTATTGAGCTTGTTTACGATCAGCTGTGTTTCGCATTTCTTCAACCTCTACCTCCTGCTTTGGGCAAACTAATAGAGTGTCATGTAAGGACAGAGAAAGGGCCGGAAAGCAGGGGAAAAGAAGTGAAAGTAATAGGGTCTTATGCAGAGGCAGACTCAGGATTCGGCGATAGCGGGGGCACCATGACATTCAATATAAATTTATCACTGTTCTTAAAGATTGGTACGGGAGCCTATGCTAATATCTGACTATTTCTTGAAGACATTTACAAGTATACATGGAGTTTTGTCGAAGTTTCCGGGTGTCGGTGACCTCTCTACGTATACTGTCCATTCCCTTCTGGTCTTATGTGCGTTTAATGACCTGAAACTAAAAAAATATATGGACTTGGTAACACCTGAAAATTATGCTAATAATGCAAACCTTTCTATGCTTCACTTGAGCCCATGGGCGAAGCTACATGTTATTAAGAGTGGTCAACTGACCACCGTTCGTCGGAAAATTACACTGCGTATATAGGAATATTAGATTTTAGAGGTATATAACATATATTGAACACTCTTTCTCGGAGAATATTTTTCAGTTCTTTCAAGTTTGAACACCCATACGTAAATTCCTGGCTTCGCCACTGCTTGAGCCGAGGGTCTATCAGAAATAGCCTCTCCAGACTCCACTTGTGGGATTACACTGGGTTTTTTGTTGTTGTTGTTGTTGTAATGCAAACCTTAGACTGGCTTCTAGCATTCTACTTTCGAGTAGCTAATATTTGATCATCAACTGATAACAAGATTACCAGACTTCCCTCTAACAATTTCAAGCTAATTGCGCTATTGTTTTCAGGTTTGATTCGTGCTTTTTAAAAGTTTTAGAGAGCATTGTAACTGAGATCATGTGGCATGGCATCATTTTACATCTCTCTCTATGTGAACATGTATAGAGATCTCCACGAACCTGCTCTCGTAATTGCTGGATGCTTCGTCTTGGTCGCATTAATTCTCTCTCTTTTGTCAATATTTCAGCATCTCAGATACTATACCAATCCAGCGGTGAGTACTCATTTAGGAGTATACATGGAGAATTAATTCTTATTTCCTAGAATCGGCAGATCTAAATTTTGCTTTGCTTATCAGGAACAAAAATGGATCGTGGGGGTACTTTTCATGGTTCCTGTCTATGCAACTGAATCAGTAAGAAAATAACCAGCGAAATGCACTCTGATTTCTAATTGAGATACGTATCAAGGAAATGCACACTATGTTTCTCTGCTATATACATGTTTAAAATGATTGATTAAAGCAATTGAGTAAAATAATGCTCCTTTCATTATTCAAACTTAAAGTTGTCGGAAAGTATCTAATCAGTAACTTCAAATTCCCATGAGAATTAAACGAATTGGTTTCTTCATCTTTTCCAGATTTTATCCTTGTGGAACCCAAAATTGTCCCTTGCCTGCGACATATTGAGGAACTGTTATGAAGCATTTGCACTCTATTCTTTTGGAAGTTACTTGATCGCTTGCCTTGGTAAGCGTGATCTTTATTTTCACTGGTGTAGTAAAAACACGCAAAATAGCTCAAGAACTTCTACCTGTCTTTTAAATAAACATTGAACCAAGATTTGAAATGTTTGATATTTTTGCTGTGGTGTTAGTCAAGGTTTCCCTTGTTACCTTCGACGACGAAGAGTTTCACTTAGCATGTTAATTGACCGTTTAATTTTGTGGGGTCTACTTCTCATACATGCATGTCTACAATTTTTTTAAAAAAGTTAGAATATAACTTGCATGATACAAGCTATTAATATTTAGTTGATTTACTGGAAAATGGATGTGTGGCAGGGGGTGAGCGAGAGGTCGTTGAACTGCTCGAAGATGAAAGGAGGAAACAAATCAGTCAGTCATTGCTAGGAGGAGAGGGGAAAGCTGTGACACAAAAAAGAACGTTGTATAACTTCATTTTCCACCCATGTGTCGTGGGGAAGAACTTGTTTACCATAGAAAAATTTGGTCTTGTACAATATGTATGTCAAAAGGGAACAAAGTTTCCATAAGTACGTTGATGTACTCATTATCTTCATACTAATACTGTTGTGTTCCACAGATGATTTTGAAGACAACCTGTGCGTTCCTAGCTCTCATTTTGGAGATCTTTGGTGTATATGGTGATGGAGAGTTCAAGTGGCACTATGGGTACATCATTTCTCCATTTAGCTTATTGTATAAAATTGTAAAGTATGAGAAAAAATTAGACATATTAAGCACAACATATAGCTGTGTAATTAAATACCATTAGCGTCATTACTACATTATTGTAGCAGCGATTTTTTCTGGTAGCTATATTTTGCACTGTTTTTCGACTCAGATTTGTCACTCGTCTGCTTACTGCTTCTTGCAGATACCCTTATATCACTGTGGTACTAAACTTCAGCCAAATGTGGGCACTTTTTTGTCTCGTCCAATTTTATAATGCGACTCACCATAAACTCCAGTCAATAAAACCGCTAGCAAAATTTATTAGTTTCAAGGCCATTGTTTTCGCAACATGGTGGCAAGGGGTGGGGATCGCCTTGTTATGTTATTTAGGGGTGCTCCCGAAGGAAGGGAAGTTCCAGACCGGGTTGCAAGATTTTCTCATCTGCATAGAGGTAAGTATTCTCAGTTTTTTATTCCATCGAATTGTTTTTTAGTTCTATCTAACAAATGTTACGTATCGCCCTAAGACCTTCCTGAGATATGGATAAGGCATCTCATTTCCTTCTTGCTATTTAGCTAACTCTCATTTCTACAGATGGCTATTGCTGCTATTGCGCATGTTTTTGTCTTCTCCGCGAAACCTTATCATTTCGTTCCAACATCCGTGTATGAAGAGATTACTGCCCAAAAAGCAGAAACAACTTTAAAATCAGAAGATAGAGAGAAACCAGCTGTTGTTGAAAAGATAGAAGCTAAGGTTGAGCTACCTGGGACAAGCGTCACTGAAAGCGTTCAGGACATTGTCGTTGAAGGAGGCCAAAAAGTAAGACCTTTTCAGCACTTACATTATGTTGTATTTGAACAACGCTTGATCGTTTATTCTTGAAGTAGTATATCTAATTGCAACATTTTCTGAACCAATAAAACAGGTTGTGAAGGATGTAGTTTTGACCATAAACCAGGCAATGGAACCGGTAGAGAAAGGTATGACAAAGATCCAAGAAACTTTCCACCAAATATCAGTCAATGACGAGAAAGAAGAAAAACAAGAGACGGAAATTAAGATTGAGGAACACGAACAGAATTTAACAGGAGATGACAGATCTTATTCTCAGGTGCTTATATCGCGAGATGAAAGGCGTAAAACTTGAACTGGTATAGTATATATCTTGAGACAAAGGGAGTTGAAAGACAAAAGATTGTCATTGAGGTATTCAAACCATGTTCTTAGTAGGATTTGATAATCTTCTTGCTTATTAGGACTTCTTTTAGTTGATTATTTTATTTTTGTTATTGGTAATACATGGATTTCCTTCCTTTAGGGGACCCTTTATATAGACTGCACCTGTTTGTTCCTGAGATGCAATTCCTTTTAAGTTGTACGACTTCTATAATGAGTCACCTGTAATTACTTTTAGGTGATTTACTTCTGTAAAAACATTTTATATCATCGGCGGAAAATAGTAAAACTCCATCTGCTGTCAAATACTAACATAGAAACATTGCATAGAGTTCGAGGGTAACTGCGTTATTGAACCCTCTAAGCACTAAAACTTGCTCAAGAGGGCGTTTGGATTGGCTTAAAAGCTGATCAAACCAACGTAAAAGCACGTGGGAAGAACCACCTCCGAGGGTGTGTTTCGATTAAACATGTGCAGAAAATATTTTGTGGTGTCTCGGTATCTTGTTTTATTTTTGCTGATCATGTCTAATTCAATCGCATTTCTTCTCCGATTAACAAACTTGCTCTTATTTCAACATCATTACAGTATAGCAATTGGCAAAACTTCTGTCCAATTGCTTAGATAAATAAATACATAACTATTCACAAAGATCTGTAAAACACTAAATGACTACACTGACAGTATGCTCATGAAAGCTAAATACAATCGTATAAATCTGTCATATTTGACACAATATACAACAAGATTGCTGAGGAAACTATTTTATAAATCTCATCCATCATTTCCAGAACAGCATAATTCACAGCAAGCGAAGCAACCTAAGCATGCCAAGGAACCCAGAAACTGCGTCAGCACAATTGCACACTGATCGTTCATCTTTGAACACGTCCGAATACAGCACATACAACAGCATATGTCACACATCTTTCCGCAGCAGTTAGATGCTGCCTTTGCTAAAATCTCTGCTGTTTCGGGTTTTGTCTCAGAGGCTCCAGGAGGAATATTTTCAACTGTAGCGCTGTAGTTACCAAAACCAACAGCAAGATTCTGTAGCAGTATTTTCTTCTCCAATTTAGGTTCTTCAATCTTAGCAGCAGCAGTGGAGACCTGCTTCATTCAACTTTGGTTAAAGAAAGAATACGACAGGGTGTGCTAATCTTTCAAATCACATACACTATTCCAAATTCTTACATCTATTGTGGCAAACTCATTGTTACACAGTATATGGCACAACTCAGGTCGTTTCTGTAATTCGGTGTTGGTGTGACTACAATTAAATCCCTGGCAAAACACATATTAAATGTGCCAAATAAAATAAGATTATAGCCATTTGAACTAGTTTTTCGACTCCATGCAGCCTCTGCCAACAGAGTAACTGGAGTTCACTGGCCAAAAATATAGAGATGATCATGTTTTATCGTTATGTATTTCCAGATACTCAAGTTAGAATTGAGTACACGGAACTGAGCTGTTAGATCTAGTATATTTTTTTTATTGGAGCTGTTAGATCTAGTATATTTTTTTATTGGAACTGTTAGATCTAGTATAAACACTAAATTCCTTCTGATCAGTAAGTTCCCTACCTTCCGCTTGGAGGTTGACTCAGTGACTAATTTGCCTCTATCGGTCTCCATCAATATCATGCGTGTATATTCGGAAATTACTGCATGTTGTATACTCGTTTGTGCTATCTGCCAAGATAGGAGAAGAAGGATTAGTCGGTAGGAACTCCAAAAAGACTAAGCCAAACAATCGAACTAGGCGTTCCAGTTAATAGTAGGAGGTAGCAACCTTCTGTTCAAGGTCCTTATTTTCAGTCAACCAGGCCTGAGCAGTAATCAGTTCAACCTGTTGCCTCGCCAACACCTGCACATTCAACATACAAAGCAATTGAATCAATGTATCCTCTTAAATCCAGTATTCTCACCTGGAAGTTACAAACATAGAGTTCAGTAGGCAGCGGAAAAGCCAGAAAAAATTCTCAGCAGCCAAATTAAGGAAATTCTCGACCTCCGCACCCTTGATAGGAAGGTGTGGAGGTCGAGAATTAGGATAGATGGTTAGTAGGTAGTTGAGTGTATTCCTTTTTATGCCAGTAGTATTAATAGTATTCTAGTCTCGTCAAAGGTTCATGAATGCTCATCAGGCATTCAAGGACAGTCAGCTACTCAAGTGACATTTAGATAATTCTTTTCTTTGTATATGCTCTTCTCATGGGAGAAAATATGCAGATTCACGAGGTAAAAGTCTTACTGTTTGCGATTCATATATATCTAAAGACGTGTTAGTTGTTACCTTATCAAGAGGTATGTCCTTTGCCTGTACAACTTTCAGATCCACAGAGAAGTTACTCAAGTCTGCAAGGACTCCTTTAGCTTTAAGCATCTCGGGGAATACTCCACGGTATCTGCCTGACAACACTAATGGACCCTCAGATGAAAGGTCTGGAGTTGAAGTGGGAAGCACCTATTGAAAAATGTAAGTGGAGTTTCCTTAGGATGCATGTGTTCATATAGGAGGATCAGCAAACTTCAACTGCGTACCATTAAGCATGTAGATAATACTAAAGTTTTCTCCGTATTACACGTAGTATGGTATCCAATTCTTCAAAAATTATTTGTAGGCCTTTTGTAACTGATCAGATTTGTTATAAGGTAAATATTTAAAATTATCATAATTGTAATCCATCCAAGAACTATTACTAAAAGACATAATATATGCTCATACGCGCACCTCAAATTCTTCAAGACCGTCAAGGTTCTCAAAGGAAATATTCGCAAGAATGACGGATGATGCCCTGGAGAAGAGCTGCTCCATACGAACTTCAATAGAATCTGTGCAAGACCACCAAACATAAGGGAGAAGGCAATTAGTTTCAGGTCACAACTGCATACAATTTGTCACAAGAAAGCAGGAAATCTATGCTAGATCGTCTCAAGTTATAAGTATGAACAATAACATTATATCAGGTCCCAGGAAGGAAAAAAAAGGAAGCTAAAACTGCACAGCGTTGTCATCATGGTCACACAAATAGGAACTGGCACAATCATTCTCTAGGCAAATCACTTTTAGTGGACTGAGATAAAAAGTGTATGTCATCCTTGTGGTCATGATAGGTTACCGCATTATCTCCATCCTAGCGTCTTAGTTCGACTTGTCACAGTTGCTCATATAAAATCGTTTGACATTAAGCGGAGCATATAAAGGGACCACTGCTAAGATTTTATACCTTTAGACAATGGAAAAAATGATCTAGAAGTTGTAAAAGCGGCTCCTATTCAGCATGTACAAATCAAAAAGTAATTTATCTTGAAGAAAATCACACGAATTATAATCATTGAATAAAAAAATAATAAGTATGATGCTATCTTTCAATCATGTTGCAAGAGCTTTCATTTGGGAAAAAGATTTAACAAGAAAAATGCCGCAGAATAATCAACTTACCAACATCATAAGCAGCGGCATAGTGGCCATGACTCATCATTGCAAGCATGCGCAAAAAATAGTGGTTACAGAACAACCCTGAAATTATTCATGTTAAGATTGGTCATTAAAGAGCACAAATCTACTGCACCAAGGACAGATGAATCAATTCAGATGCCTAGTACATAGGTGAAAAGATGTAAACTCCCTAAGACTATCATGATTTAGGTGTCTAATGTGATGCATTTCGCAGTAACCTGGTTATATCCCTTAAAGCATTCACAACCTACAAAACCAAGTTTTTACCAAGCTTGGTTGCATCTAAAAAATGCGACGAAATGAAAAATATTATTTTTGTGATTAGCAAGATTTTGTGCATATATTTGGGCTAAGATAGAAAACAGAGAACGTCATGCATCTCCTCTACCAAAACACTTTCCTTTTTTTTTACGGGGGGGGGGGGGGGGTTATCTGGGTTGGGGGAGCTTTGGCGGAGGCAATGTTTCTTCCATTTACATACCTATGCCTAATGTACAAAGCCGCGGGCATATCATTTGGTTTTGCATCAGATGACTCTTCAGAACATCACAGATGTGTCTTTCATCTTCAACAGCTCCGTCAGTGACCAAGAAAATAACAGGAATGTGTTGCTGGCTATAGGAAAACATCTCCATGGCCTGATAAAGGTAAAAGTGTTATCTTGGATTTGTCAGACAAATGCAGGAACAATAAAGTTCTATCATTTCAGTAGTATTATGAATAATGAACTCAAAATTCTAGAAACAGTAAGCTGTGAAAAAGAATATATAGCTTCAATATGCCATAGACTTGCAGGAAATCCAGCCAACTAGTACGGCATGCAAGGTTGCAATAAGCGTAAGTGATGCTTCTTATTAGAGATTGACCACATGTTTTTTCTCTTCAAAAATAAAAGGATATTAGTTTCTCCTTTCAAAAAGCTCATTACCAAATGATATCCAATTAACAATTAGGCCCTTAGGGTCCTAAGATATTTAAGGGATGAAGCTCAATATCATAAAATATGCATCTCACACATTCGAAGGGGGATGGTAAATTGCAAATATTTATAAGTAGAGGCCAGATTGTCCAGGCTTACAACAAATCCGTCAGACCTCACAAGCAAGAAATGCTGGATGACACCCAAAAGGTATGGAGATTAATTTAATTGCAGAAGCATGGCAGTGAAGATTCATATAGACAACCCCAACTTGTCTGGACTGAAATGTAGTTGTTGTATAGGCTTGAATAGAATGATACCTAAATTGCACCCCTTGCCGAGTATCTAGCTGAAGATGCAGCCACAGATGCACATGAGGCAACTAAAGAGACCACACAAACCAACAAACTCGCCATTGGAAATGATACCCCAAAGGGGTGGGGGCCAGTGGCCGATGAAGAAGGTGAAAACCAGATAGGTGTGAATTCTTCCAATCTTCCTAAACGTAGAGGGTAAGAGTTACCCGGTACATGTGCTAGTGAAAGTTAGCAGGTACCCGTTAGAATAGTCGAGGTGCGCACAAGCAGACCCGACACCACTATTATTAAAGAAAAAGAATTTGGAAATGATATATATGACAGACTCCACGTCCTAGTCCATGTAAAAGTTTGGAGCACCATAAGCATTTCATTAACATGTAAGTTTATAGCAATTATTATTAGATTTAAAAAAAAAAATTCTCTCTAGATATTTCTGTTCGTAAATATAACCTTCTTGCTTATATAACACTCTTATCTTTTCTTTTTCCATTCTTCATGCTTTTCATCAAAAGAAGAAGATTGACACTACCTCAGAAGACAGGATGATTAATTAGTTACAAAAATGTGACATGCAACTAAAATAGCCCAAAAATGGGTATGACCTGAGTCAACGGATTCAAAATATTTGTTCCGCCACCAGCAACAAAATTCGTGCCAATCCACTGAGTTGCATTTTCAATAGCCTTCTTGGTTGCCAATTCCAGTGATGAAGAAAATAGGTACTTTTCACTGTTGAAAGCTATTATATTAAACAGATCTTGAGAATCAAGCTTTGACAAGGCCGTACAGAGCGCTTGTTTGGTATCCTCGATTGGTTTTCCTTTCATGCTACCACTTATATCAACAACAAATACCACTTCCTTTCTGAAGACCTGTCGAAAATTTCAAGTGACAATGACAACATTTCCTTTAGTAAGTAACAGAAGGGCATTGACACTTCCACATATATAACAGCCCTTCTTTATTAATAAGAGGGATTTTGAAAACATATAATGGAAAAACAAGTCGAGATAGTCATACAAGTTTTCCTACTTCCAGGTGTAGACGTTATTGATTGATCTTTCCTTCACAAATAGTATAAAAAACCAACCAAATATGGAAAATAACAAATGTTAACACTTGTTATATCTTATTTTTCCAACTTCTAAAGTTAAACGCTCATCAAGTAATCTTCTTAACTAATCTGGTGACTCGGGCATGAATATGCATGATCATGGACCAATAACTGTAAATATCTTTTAGCTCGACCTCACAGTCAAACTATGTTTTAGAAAGATAATTTAATCTGTGACCTGGAAGAGCAACTAGCAATCTGGAGTAAAGATGGAACATCCTAGGATTCAATGAATGCTGAGTGTAGAAGAATAACAAACAGATTTTCATTGGTAACAAACAGATTTTCATTGGTTACCTTCAAAACTTTTTAAAAGTTACTTTTGGAGAGAAACTTGTAAATGCAAAGGTCAACAAAAGAAAAGGAGTACCGACCTTCCTACACTGCTGGTCTCCCGGAAAAAGAGAGCAGCAAAACATCTCTCTCTGGTCGGTGTCAAGTAGTGGGGGCGATTGCAAAAGTACACTGCCAGAAATATGAGTCGACGAAACCTGAAAACAGAGTGATGATGGATGAAACAGATTCTCACAGACCAAATTATAAACAGATTTATCGAAAATTTCACTTTAAATTGCTGGAGCTGAAAAATAGCAACATAGTACCCTAGTGGCTAATTGACCTTACTTTCCAGGAATTTAGAACTAATCACAAGCTCTATGTTATATAACAATCACGAAAAATTCATGTAGGGCCTACCGTGTAAGAAAAAACAAAGTTACAACTTGACCAATTAAGGACTTCAGATTCGTATAAGAAGCCCAACTTTCCTGCTTGACGTTGCCGCTCCTAAAAAACAAAACAACCATGATGTCACGGTTGCTCATCAACCACTAAATTATAAGTCAGTTGAATATATAACAGGCAGCACCTTCAGAGGGTGACTAGTGGTCTTGCACATAACTTCTGTTCCAGGACCAGAGTTAACATTAAGCTGTATCTTTTCTTTTTTAGAGATCTTCTTTCCAGCTGGAGTGACAAAGTCTGGAAAACTAAATGGTACGTCCAAGGTTAGCTGGCCATTGCTATACAATAACTTCTGAGACCATCTAATCGTGACAGATATATTGGTTCCACCATCCACCTGAAGAGGTAAGTCCATCATTAAAATGAACAATAATGAAGAAGATAGCAGGTTATATAGGAGTAGGACACTGAGAGAAACTTACTTGTGGTATTGTAAGGGTAAAAATTTGGGGCGTCAGAAAGCATCCATCTTCAATTTTGGCTAGCTTTTCTGTTCCGCTTTCGTCATCCACGGCAACTATTTTAGTGCAGTAAGTTTTCCTGGGTAACTCAACCTCGACACCTAGAATTGAACCCTGTTAGCCAAATAATTTATCACTTGAGAACAAAAAAATCAGCAGTGTTTCACTTTTGTGAAACAAAAAACATTAGGTGAGGATTCAGAATCTAACATGAGAAGCAAAATATATTTTTCGATAACGAATAAGAAGTAAAATATTTAATGAGACAACAGTTAATGAGATCAATATGATGCTGACAACTTATTTAATGAGCCTATATGATGCTGACAACTTATTTAATGAGCCTACAGTTGATCAGATCTGTGTCATGCTGACAACTTCCATGTCATCAAGCACCAATCAATCATTAACTGCTCCTTTTTCCCAAATTAGTCGGGTCAGCTATATGAATCGTCTACATCCATTAGGCTCTACTCATGTCCGTTTCATTCCAGTACAAATAACGACTTTCAAGGCAAGGTAGGAGCTCTCTAACACTAGAGATTCTCTAAATCTCATGCTTATTCTTACACATATTTACAACTTAATTTCTACCTGACTCCGGGCCTAATGTAAGTGTTACAAAGCAAAACCTTAATTCTGACTAGTTTGCGTCGCCTCTTTGCTTCATGTCATAAAAGCATCAAACTGACTAAGTAATGTTCATATCTCCTTGCAACAAAAGGACGAAAAGGCAGAAAGGGTCTCGTTCAACCCAAAAAAGGAACACATGAGGAGAAAGAACAAACAACATATAAGTACAACCTTAACAAAAATCTGAAGCTACTTTTAAAAATTATTAGAAAAAGAAAAGAAACTATCTTATCAGCATCATTAGAGGGTAACATTACAAATCCCATCGTTTGTAAGGAAATAAATTATTCACAAAGAATGGAGCATATTACCACCAGCTTCTGATATCTGTAATCTTTGTCTTACTAAGAGAGAACACTTGAAAGATACCTTTTTTTCTAATAATCGTGGTGTCCGGCCAGCTTACGCGCGACGGTGTCACTTGAAAGATATTCTTAAGCAGTTAAAAGCTCATAAAAGCCTAATTAGACAAGAATTCCAATTATCCATGTTACCATTAGATATTTTATCACATTCATTCGAAAAAGAGAAACTTTATACTCCCTAGTTAACTCAGACGAAAAGGTACTGAAAATTAATGAGAGAACATATCTTTTAGGGGGCAAATAGGAGGGAAAAACATAGGAGCAGTTGAATAACCTGTTCACCCATGGGAATGGCGATACGACAGTCGCAGCTACGGCTACCCATGACGCAATGCACACGCCATGATCCAGTGACAGTAATGAATGCCATATTATCCAAATAACAATCAGCTTCAAGTGAAATTCCGTTCATTTGAAGAGGAATCAAAGCAGGAGGATCGCACCTGCCGTGCACGTGAGGCTGGTAGCTCGGAATATCCGGATTATCAACTATAGCAGGATCATTAATCACAGCGTAAAGCATAGGCGATTCCGGCAGGTATGACTGTGACGCCTTCTCCATCGCCGTCATCGGCTTCGGCGGCGCCACCGCCCTGTCCTTCCCAAAATATATCCTTTTCGATAGATGTACACCGTCTTCAACTGCTTTCACAAATTCCTCCGCCATTGAATGCGTATGCGTGAATGTAAGTTTCGGCAGCGGAGAAGGGCAGAATAGGAATTTTATAGTTCCGGAGTAGAGATAAAGTAGGAAATAAGTAGATCGGAAAAATAATTTCTCCGACAGTGATCGACCGTTGATGAGGGTAGATTTGTCTTTTAGTATAAATAAACAGAGTATTGAAGAAAGCGAAGCACGTTAACGTATCACTTTACCTGTTTTATACGCACGAAAAAGGAGACGCCATTTTCGTTTTCTTCCTAATACAGTTTTTTTTTTTCTTCTTTTTTTTTTTTGGTGAATAAATGATAAAAATAGTAATGCCGGCCCGTTACAAGGCTCCAGGCTGGAGTTTTACTTTGTATTCAGACCTCGTTGGCCCACAATGTTACCGTTGGGCGTTGGCTTATTCTTCTTTAGATATTTTTCACATAATTAATAGGGAGTTCATTTAAGAAAATGCCAAAATGATTTATACCAACAATAACAATAACAAATCCAGCAAAATTTCATGTTGTGACCCATATGGCTGACTTGGAGGACGTGGACAAACACAATCAGCAAGAGAGTGACTTTCTACGTAGGAGTAAACGCGTGAGAGTGCCATCCAAGAAACTAACTGATTTCATTGTGGAGAAAGGGTGATGATAGCGTGAAGAGGAGCAGTAGTGCGCAACTTAAGAAGAATACCAGATAGTATAAAAGAAGGATTAGTGAATGTAATAGGGGCAATTGGTTATGTTGAGTCTTTTATTCTCTCATCCCAGTCTAATTTCTCTGTTTCCCATCCCTTCTTCCTTCTCTGTTCTCTTACTTTTGGTTACTGTTTTATTGCAATTTTCCCTTAAGGCTTCATTGTAATTCACTGATTGAATCAATACAATCTGCCAGTTCCTATTCTTGTGAGTTAGCAATTCAGTTGTTACATTGGGGCTTTCATCCAGAGGTCTCTAATGGAGGACCAAAAATCACTCAAGACCTTCGTTGAAGAATCGATTCTGGAGATGAAAGAGTCTGTCACCAAGGACCTCGCTGAATTTCGCGAAATACTGATGGATGTGGTATCAACCAAAGCTCCGGCAGGACTTCCCCATCGACACCCAGCCATGGACGTAACTCGTCAGGACCATGCACCAGTGACCACCACTCTCCGTCACAAGCCAGCATCAGTGGAGTTTGGTCGATTTCGAGGTGATAATCCGGAGGCGTGGATATTTCAAGCGGGGCGATATTTCGATTTCTATAAAATCGAAGAGGACCAGAGGCTCACTATGGCTTCATTTTATCTTGATGGTGAAGCACTTGAATGGTATAGATGGTTATTCAGAAACAAACAACTGGTGGATTGGCCTCATTTTGCTGCTAAGGTGAGGATCCGATTTAAGCAAAAAGGTCTCGAGTCGGCGGAGGGGAGATTGGAAAAACTTCGGCAAGTCACCACCGTCTCGGAGTTGCAGGGGCGATTTGAAACCATCGCTAATGAGACTGATGAGATCTCTGAGAAGCTCATGATCCGACTCTTTATTTCTGGGCTCCGGGAAGACATTAAGAATTCAGTTTTGAGTCATGAGCCCAAAACGTTTGATGAGGCCCTTAATCAGGCCCATATACATGAGAGGCGGATCCAAGCTGAGAAGGGGCCACTCCGACCCGCCCTTGCTAATAGAGGGACACCGCTTTTACCCAGCCCTAATTTAACTTCTCTCTATCACAAGCCTTCTTCATCGACAGGTACTGCCAACACTTCCATTCCGGCACCGCGACCACCTTTGAAGTGCCTCACTCATGCGGAACTCCAGAACCGCCGTGATCGTGGGCTATGTTACTATTGTGAGGAAACATACACAGCCGGTCATAAATGTAAGAACCCTCCACGCCTACTTCTTCTCACTGATGGATCTGGCATAGATCCAACTTTACCGAAAACATTCGTTTCGGACGATATATTAGCAGAAGAATTGCAATGCTTGGAGGTACAGGAACATTCAGCCTTCTCTTATCACGCCCTAGTTGGTGGAAATTCCTCTTCCACGCTTCGCTTTCTAGGCCACGTGAATGGTTCTCCGATACAAGTTTTAGTGGATGGAGGGAGCGACCACAATTTTATCTAGACTAGAGTGGCAGATTTCTTGCAGTTGGTAGTCGAAACTATACCTACATTTTCAGTGGTTGTGGGAAGCAGCCAACGACTCAGGTGTGAGGGGGTTGTGCGACAAGTTCCGATCACAATCCAAGGATGTAATCTTCCGATGGACCTTTATGTGCTACCTTTACATGAGGCAGATGTAGTGTTGGGGACAGCTTGGCTCGCCACATTAGGACGAGTGGTTACTGATTATGCGGAACGAGTATTTGAATTTTCCATCAGGGTACAACTGTTAGCTGGAAGGGGCTGGCTTCTTCAAGTGCGCAACCAATCCAGTTACATAGTCTCTGGAGATGTACTGCTACTGATGCCATTTCCTCTTACTATTGCTTGCAAATGTTACCACCTACACCAGTTGAAAATGAGCCGCTCAGTCCAGCACTTAGTTGCTTGCTGGACTCTTTTGCAGATGTTTACCAAAAACCACAGGGGCTACCACCGTCCAGGCCACAAGACCATGCAATTCACATGGTTGTCGGGGCAGAGCCAGTTGTTGATACCCAATTTTTCCCTGCATATTTTCACATATACAAAATACTTTCAAAATAACATATATATGAAATATATAAGCATGCCTAAGGATTTTAGTATTTTTTCTAAACTTTTTAAAGATTTTAGCAGTACAAAATCAGTAATTATTCCCAAAATCCTCAATTTTGGTGAATAATTTATTTCATTTCTATGTTTATACAAAAATATAGTTAAGGTAATTTTTTATACATTTTTTACAAATTTATTTGGTATTTTAAAGCTAAATTGCATATAATTGCAATTCTACCCTATTTTAAGTTTAATAGCATTTTAATTATAAAAATTGGTTCCAGTATTTTTAAATTAATATTTATGTGTTATTAACTGACTCAGTACTTTTAATTTTCTTTTAAAATCATTTTTACTATTTTTATTTAAAAAAAGGAAAACTGGCTATTTAACATTTAGCCTCATTTCTTTGCAATTACAGCCTATTTACATTTTAATTTTAGCCCTCAAATTGACCCAATCCTAACCCCAATTGGACCGGCCCAATTTCAATTTTACCCAACCCCTTAACCCATTTGTTTAACCCGCCCGGATTTTCTTTCAATCCAGGCCGTTGATCATTTTGATCAACGGCCAGGATCACCCCTTTCCGTTTTAATTCACCAACCCCACCCTAATCCCCCCATTTCGTTTAGTCCGCCGCCCTTGAATACTCTCCACTCCCAAAATTCTCTCGAAAGAACCCTAACCGTTACGACCCTTTTCCACCGTACTTTCACCGGAATCCATGGCTTCTCAGGCCATGGATGGTCTGTACTCACCCCCCTCCACCATTAGACCATGAGTGTTCAAAGCTTTGAGGTCTGACCTCGATGATTCTCTTTTAGACCTTCTTAGATCTATGGTTCTATGGCCTCTCCGGCCATGCTCAGGCGTATTCAAGCATTAGGAGCCTATTTCTCACCTCATCCGACTCCAGATCGGAGTTTCTTCCGAGCATTTCTCATTTCTAGGGTTTCTCCGAAATCCTAAGCTATTCGAGGTTTTTCTTTGTTTGTTTTCTTAGATCTGTGATATATTTGTGTTCTACTGGATTTTTAAAGTGTTTTCCCCAATCTTTTCTTTCAAAATTATTTCTCTTCGATTTACGATTTCTGAAAGGTTTTCGAAACATCTTTCTGATTCTTTTCTTTATGTGTGTTTGTCTATATTATGCTCGTGTGTTTTCCTTCTCTACCACCCATGTGTTGTTCTTCTGTTTTCTTCCTACTCTACACGATTCTTCTATATCTTTGTATTCTACTGTGCCTTTAGACTAGGCTCGCATGTTAATCTTTGTTATGTTCTTCTATCTGTTCTTTGCTATATTTTCAGTATTTTTCTACTGTACTTGTTTCCTACTGAGTTCTTAAATTTTGTTTACTTTACCTGAATTTGTTTGAGTTCTAAGCATGCTTCCTTTATTGTTTCTTAAGTTTACATCACTTCCTCTCTCTGCTGAACTTGCTTAAATTCCGAAGCTTTTCTCAAACATGTTCTTTATGCTTTCAAACCTGCTATCATGTTTGTTGGTCTCTTATGAGTCTCTGAAAGAGACCTCTGAGTCTGTTTCAATGGCTTGCCTTCTCATCTCTGTGCCTGATTCAAGTGAAAACCCTAGAATTTGGGGGTTTCTTTGGCAAGTTCGATTTTGTGTTTGGACTGGGGTTCTACTTTGAAACCCTGAACTCTCAGACTCATTCTGAGTCTATAAATTGGACCTGAACCTTTTTTATGACTGTTTCTGTGATAGTCTTTTCTAATCAGCATGACAACTCCTTCTTGTTTGATATTTGTGTGCCTTATATATGAGAAATTTTTCTTTCAAAAAGGTTTTGCCAATTATGATTGATTCCGAATTTCTTTTAGTAAGGTTTGATTGATTGTTATTGATTTTCCTTAAGTAAAACCCTTTCCTCTCTTTTCCTGACTTGGTTCATTCGAACAAAGCCTGCGATTTTGATTTTACTAACTGTTTAATTGATTTCCTTTCCTTATTTTCACAAACCGTGTACCACTGGACTTTCTTTTCCTTAAATAAACTCCTATGTATTTACCCTCTTTGTGTTACTTTGGAAAAGATTTCAGTCAAATTTTTTCCTTAACTGTCTTCTACCCATTTGAAATCAGAATCCCTTAACTAAAGGGAGACTTTATGTGATTGATTGTAAAACTATTTTCTTACCTTTTCTTACTTGCCTTCTGCACTATAAAAGGGGACTACCCTTCTGCACTTTCAAGGACACACGATTGAATACTCTTTAAGACAACTTCGAATTCAATACTTTTACACACCTTCAGCTTACACTACTCACCTCACACTCTCAATTTCAATACTTTCACATTCTCATCTGAGTTTCTTCTGGCTGTTTGCTTGCAATTTGGGCTTTACTACTACTTTTTCTCTGCTTACTTCTGAAACTGGTATGTCCTAATTTAGTTTCAGCCATCACACCAATATGTTTATTTACAGCTTCTGCAATCCTGTTTACTTTACTGTCCATGCTCATTGATTCATCTGCATATTATTCTCTTTGCACTTATTTTCTGCTGTGAATCCCTATACCCCTATTCCCTCTATGTGTTTGAGTTAAGGTTCAGGCATGGCAGTATCCAAATTGCTGCTCATGTTTGGATCCGATCCTTAATGGATCCTAA